CTGGATGATATGGAATCCGGACATCCTGAGGCCCGACTGCGTCTCTTTCTACCTCGGGTGCCAGGGAAAAAGCCTAGACAGGTCCTGGTCCAGGGTGACTGATTGGACTCAAAATCATATGGGTCTGCTGGGTCCATAGCTGGTCACTTCATTCTGTCACATTAGGAAACTGGACACAATTGCAGTATAACCAAAAAATATTTATTTGAATAAAAAAGGAAAAGGAAAACAAAAACTTACTTTCAAAATTCCAAAAAGGGAAAACAACGAGGAATCACAAGGAACCACAGAGAACAACTGACACGGGGAAAATGTAATCACCAAAAACACACAAGATAAACAAACAAAACTAGGATAGACAAGATAAAACAAGGAAACCTAAACTATAAAATACACAAAACTAAATAAGACCAAATCATGACACCTATAGCTTAAACCTAAAATGCCCCTTTAATTTTGTTTTACTCAGAGTGCAAGGAGCAAGGCTAGGCATGCGTTTGATTGAAATCTGAGTCACATTTTTTATGTAGTTACAAATCAGTAATTGGCAGCTTGATGTCAAATACATTACTGGAGACTTTTGAACTGCAGCCATGGTTAGTATTTGCTTGTTTTGCAATAATTTTATACCTTCAGAAACACGCAATAAATTTTAGCGAAGATAAGAACACAACATTCCACAGTTACGACTTGTGCAGTTATACAGACCTTTGTTGTTTTGGCTTTATTCTACGTCTGCAATCCTTATCCAATGTTGACAGATTTATTGGTATGTCATTGGCAATAAGCAGCATGAAGGAGCGGTTTGAATTTCTATCTAATGCATTGATAACAATTAGATTTACATCCCGTTAGTCCTAATGTTGACAGTCAACAACAGAATCAAAGGCAGAATCAAATTCTGGCTGCATGCTCACTTCACAGGAAAATCACCTGCTTTACAGCAAGCTGTACCTGAACAGTCAATTATACATTACATTTCACGTTACAGTGTATGAAGAGGCATGCACTCCCATGAGTCTGTCTTGCAAAATCTTTCAGACAATCACAACAAAATTCAACAGCCATTTGATTATTACAGTAGACCCACCATTGTCAGAGTGAATAAAGTAAATTGACTTTTTTATGGAACCACCTCAAACCAAAATGACTTCGAAGCATTATTATATGTAAATAATGGAAACAATTACTGAATGTAAAAAATGCAAAGTAAAATCATTACCTGATATTGGTCACAATTAGTCTCTCACAGTGCTGCTCTCTCAGTAAGTCAACTATCATACCAAAATCCTCATTGCCTTCATATCTGTAGGAAACATTCAGTAGAAGAGACTGTTGTGCGAAGTTTAATGACCTTCAATGTTCTACTGATGTCTCTTCACCCTCTCTTTCTACTATTTTTGGATATGAAAAAAATGCAGAAATTTTATGTTTCAGTTTAAACACTATCTTTACTTCAGGGCTCACCAAAAGGCTGACTGATGGTTGACAATTAAGCCAATGTAATGTGAGGAAATTTGAGTTTGATTGGTTTTAAAAATGACAATGCATATTATCTATCAATTAATAGTAAGTATGATATAAGACTGATCATTCTGATATTAACATTATCAACTGTGATGATGATGAAACGGGGAAGTCTTGTGTTAATTATAGAGGTTGAAGTTGAGCAGCTCAAAGATTCACTTTAATATTTTATTAATGATTATGGATTTATGGCTGTATTAGAAATTGTTGCTCTTAGATTCACCTTGTCTTTTAAATTTAGAATTGTATTATTAAAAAAAAACTTGTGAAATAATTACTGCTGAGGGCTAAAGGAATACATGACTCAATGGAGCTAGTCTGCCCAACTAAAGTGCTGAAAAGGTAACTATAGGATTGTTTTTGTTTTCTTTACTTAGTAAGGAGTAGTAGGCAGCTTGAACACGACAACATGGCCTTCATATATTTATGATGACTAACTTGCCTGACTAAACAAAAATCTGTGTTGGTGGAGCACCACATTTGCGAAATAACAATGTTTTTTTCAAAATATGGGTTTCTGAGTTGTACTATGGATCTCTGCTGTTTGGTGACCTTCTGTTTCAGGGGGGCGATTGAATCAAGAGTAACTCTCAGCGAATCCACAGCACTCTCAACAAACTGATCCGGCTGATGGACTTATATTTTAATGAGTTTAAAGAGTTGTCAACTGGGTTAAAACATGGTATTGAATTAAAAGTAGCTGGAATAACTTCTTTAAATTTAGCTACAGCAATATCAGGTCATTTAGAGAGAATGTTTTTATTACGCAGAATTAAGTCTCATTTTTCGGAAACGATCTTGTAGAAGAGGATTTTCTGGGAAAACTGTTAAGTTATTGAATTCAAGGCTAGAATAAGGTAAACAAACATACTCGTTTTAACCACACCCTGGTGGTTAAAACGACGAGTATGTTTTTTTGAACCCTGGATACAGATATAATGTAATGACATAAAACAAAGGCTATCAGCATCCACATGAATATTAAAGTCACCTACAAAGGATATTGTATCAGTGCTGAGGACTAAATTTGATTTTAAAAAAAATCAGCAAATTCAGATATATATTCAGAATATAAGCCAGGACACACTGCACAAAGCCATATCAAAACAAGAAAACACAATGGTTGGTACAGGCTGGAAGTAACACTGTTTCGACCTACTTCAGTGAGGCAAATAACAACCAAATGGGCTGCTCAGTAGGGCACCTTTACCTACCACCTTGAGTGACCAGAGCATGTCACCAATCTGTGGGTTGATACATGTGAGTTTGCAGTAAAATTGAAGTGTCCTGATTTGGAGTTCTGAAAATATGGTCACCCTACCTGCACCTGTTACAGGGGACCTGCTTCCTGCTGCTGCAAACGATGGATTTGGATCAGTGGATTTGCGTCACAAAATCAGAAACCCTCGACTCAAAAGCTAGAAATAAAATATACATTTTATACATTTACCAGTTTCAGTATGGAGGACTAAACATCTAAAAATGCAGTGTTTCAGAAACAGCAGTGCAAATCAAAATGAACATTTAGCTCTACTGAAAGCTGGATAACTAGCATAGCACAACACAAGAAGCAGCGGAAAACAGAAAGCAACCCAACATGCGCATCATAGGATGCCAAGCAGCTGTGTCTCAATTTCATTGATTGTGATATTTAAGAGACCACTCAGATTGCTAGCTGAATATAAAACATGCTTATATCTGTGGGTGGTCCTTCAAAATACATGATTAATTTAAGTAGCAATTTCCTTGTCATAGTTGTAAACATTGCACTTCTATAACTTAGAATAATTATTAATCCAGCTGTGATCTGTTGTCAACATGAAGGTTAATGGCAGAATCACATGTAACACTTAATATGTGGTTTACCGCCTTAATTCTGAACACAAGTTTTCAATTCAAAATCTTGATGATAAATATTGTTGGCTGAGCTCTCCAATAGTCAAAACCACAGCTTAGGAGAACCACATCATATTGGCATTGACACAATGAAGACTCCCCAGAGATGAAAGACAGGCTTTATTGGATACACTACTTGCAGGCAGGGTTCATTGAGCGATTTTCCTTGATTCTTTTATGAAATCATTGCTGTGTTCTTTGTTTATTATTGATGTTTTAAGTATAGACTGCCTGAAAAGGTTCTGGCTCCCCCTGTTGGGATGCATTTTATGTGCAGCTTGCAGTCACCTATAATTAACCCCAGCTGTACATTAATTATGAAACTGCCAGAACTCCAGCTGAGGAAGGGTGTCTTTCTCTAGACAACATGATAACTTAATATTATTAATTGCAGTCAAAGTCTTAATGTATTATTCATGGTAACTTTGCATATAATTTCTCTATATTTTATTAAAATATGAACATTGACTTGAGCTAGTTTTTGTAAACTCTTTACGTAGCCTATATCAATACCAATAACAGACAAAGTGTTACCTCAAACAGGAGGTATGTTTGTCTAAACTGGTAGGAATATACACTTCAAAACAGTCACTTTACAATGTCACTAAAGTAAAAATGGATTGCTGCTCTGGACTGGGAAACTATTGCTCGAATTAATTCTCAGAAACTATTGGCTTGTTTAAAGAACATAATCTATTAGAGCTTCTCCCTAGTACCTCCTCTTGGACTAGGACATCTCCTTTTATGTTCCATTGAGGGCATGCCCAGCCTTTGAGCAAGTTGCGATAGTCTCTACTGTGGTTCTTTTGTAACACAGAGGTGTTTACATGTAGAGGAAGGATTTTCTTCCCACACATTTGGAGTGTCTAGTTTAATTATAACACGTGTGTAAAGAAAGAAAAAAATAAATTAAAACAAGAAGAAGCAATAGAAAAGAAGACGAGTTGTTAACAAAAGAGCACAATAACATTGAAAATCATGTTGCATTAGTTTGATTAATTACTGTGTGTGTTCTATTGTGTGACTTCAAATTTAACGTACTGTACTACAATTCAGTTTTTAAGTTCTACCCTTTGATAAAATGGACATACAGGGAACTCCATTAAACAACTTATAGGCATGAATCTGTTTTGCCTGCAGGGCAGCATTGGAAACAGTTTAATGTTTTCACCATTTAAAAGACACCCTAGAGGGCTCATTGTCATGATGTTTATTTTACACTTGGCTACTAGGCCAAGGGAAACTATATTTTATCATATATTATCTAACATTGAGCACGCAACGGGCATTTTTGCAGTGTTTTTGCACCCAGGGGGCACAGTGGGTGTATATCCCGTATGTGCCTGTTGCAACTGTTAATGTGAGATTTCAATTCAGTTGGATTAATTAGCAGTAGTTGAGTGGCCCAGGGGCCAATGCATTATCTTTACTCATGACAAGTGTCATGTCATGCATCAACAGGAACTCATATCTGTGAGTAGAGCTGCTATGAGAGGTGTGGGCGTGTACCCGAGATACTCCAAATCCCTGCACATTTGATTGGAGCTCCTAAGTAGGCAAAGACTTTGAGAGCATCCTTGCTCTGATTTTGCTCCAAATTTCAACCCAAGACGGCGCACGTAACAGTAAAGAGCAATTGGGCTATCGAAACCGCTGTTTCCTCTCAAATCAGTGCGCAAATTACAAGTTGGATTTATGACATGAACCTGCGAGGATTTATGCGACTAACAAACTCCGATTCGTTTATTTGACGTCTGGATCATTTAAGATGGACTTCACTGGGACATCTATATTGAAGTTCATGGATTTTCAGTCGATGTTAGAGGGAGATTAGGCTGACACGTGCGCTGTATCTTCATCAGGCTATGATTCTGGGATTGTCTGGAATGGCAAGGATACTACCCATCCTCGCGAGATTCATTCTCTTGGAAATACTTGCATTGATTTTCTTTCAAGGTAGGCTGCATTTGAAGCATGTAAGCTGCAACAGTCTTTTTACGCATTTTAACGTAGGCTTTTCATATGTTACGCATTTTTTTTCATGAAGTAGCTTAATTTTGACATGTATTTTGTGCAATACAAGGTGTTTTGACATCCTATGCCAACCCCGGAGCTTTCCCATTCTCCGGCAAAGTGTCTGACTCCGGAGGACCAGCGGGCTCACACCTGGCTGAAGCAGCTACAGGAGCAAAGTCCAGACCCAAGCGCTGCACTTGTTATTCCTACAAGGATAAAGAGTGCGTCTACTACTGCCACTTGGATATCATCTGGATCAACACTCCCGAGTAAGACGTGTGTTTGTTTTCATAATGAGAGCCTTAATAAATCTTCCAAACTAAGAAATAAAACCCACCAATAGGATATAATTAGTTTTTTTTTTTTTGCAACAGTAGCACGGAATGACAGTTCATAAACTTCTCTGGACTTGCATATCTGCTCATCTTTTGCCTGTGTCGACAGATAGTGTAACGCTAATCAATAAAAAATTAGAAACTCAGACTGCAGCATTGTAGCCTATAGGCCTGACTCGACTCGGAGCTGCGTACTAACACAAAACATTGTAACAAGTCACACCCGGGAAGTGCTGCCTGCAGCGTAATCGCGCTAGACGCAGTGGCGGTTCAAGTGAGGGCAAGCCCAACAAAAAATAAACCCAGTGCAAGGTCAAATTTTGACATCAGGGAGGTTGAAGTTATTGCTGCTCGAGTTAACATCCCCTGCTTATTTCACCATCCTCTGATTGACCATCATCTATATCATTGTGTTATTACTACGAAAGAGATGGTCAATGTTGTTTTATTTCAAGTTTAGGTTAAAAATTTGTGTTATTCTAATAAGAACACTTTTTAAATACTTCTACGTCTCCTGAATCGAGCAGGTATCATGTAGACCCAATGAGTGACAGCTTGATGTCTTCATCAACTGCTTTCTGCAACATGATTCAACTGGAGATAATAGCATTCTGATGCATGCTCAAATCAAGTCTTTTCTCTCAGGGCTCATAACTTTGTTGGGCTGACATGAAGAAAAATCTCCCGCTCAGCGGCCACTGTACCAGTTGATATGTGAAGATCTGGTATGTGTGTGTAACTCCCCTGAGATTAACTGACAAAGTATGAGGGATACCCAACAGTTGTAACATTCAATGAATGAACTTGAGCTTGTATACCGCATTTCTAGTCTTCTGACTACTCAAAGCACTTTTACACTGCGTGTCACACGTACCCATTCACACACTGATGGCAGAGGTTGCTATGTACATTACAATAAACTAATCCCATTCATAAGACCCAGACCAAGCAGCGGGAGCAACACACATGTACAGTAGCTGCAGGGATCGCTGGAGATCAAACCCGCAACTTTGTGGTTGAGAGATGGCAACTCTACCGCCCCAGTGCAGAAGTTGTGAAGCCAAATGGACAGAGATCACACAGAATATGTCATGCAACTCTTATAGCCTACTTGGTCTGGCAAAGATAAGCCATTTTCCTTCATGGTGGACATGACTGAATTATTATGCTCATGTCTTCTGTGCTGGATTTGTTTAAAGGGACTTTTCTGGTAATCAAACTACTTTAGTTCTGTGATGTTAATTTGATTTATTTTTCAGTTTTTAGTCTACTAAAACTAAATGAATTCATTATAATGAACTAACATTACTCACATTGATTGATTTATATTGATTTGATTGATTGACAACATTTTAATCAGTCATGTATATGTTTTTATTTATATAGCATCAAATCACAACAAAGGTTATCTTGTGATATTTTGCATAAAGACCAGCTGTAGATGATGCTCTTTGTGATATTTTTTTTGGGGAGTGAGAGAGTGGGGAATTACATGAGGGTAAGGAGCCACAGGTGGGATTCGAACCTGCTTGGAGGACTACAGCCTCCATACATGGGGCGCGGACTAACCACTGCACCATTAACCACTGCACCATTAACCACTGCACCACTGCGCCGCCAGCGCTCTTTGTAATATTTCAACAGTATTGTTATAACTATGATATTATTTGTAACAGGGACCAAACATTAATCCACCAAGCACTTGCACAAAGTGGCAGGGAAAAACGTCCTTACCAACAGAAAACTCAAGAAGACTTGTTGGTATGCAGCAATCTGCTGCCACTAAATGGGCACAGAAGAAAGATGGCATTATGGAGGAGTCAATCTCAGAATTTACCCGTTAGATCACGATATATGCGCCTCAGAGAGTGGTGGACAATTTGCTACTTTGTCAATAGGTGACTGCTGATGGGTTCCAGGATTGCGTTACGATGGATTGTGTCCCACCCCTATTGTTCTTCACACGGACTGGTCTCCTGCGTACAGCCAATGCTAGCTAATGCTTGTGGATGGTACTCATACTACAGAGTTCAGATAACTCATGATCACAAAGTCGGGTTCCGTTCCAACAGATTCTACGTCTTTGTGACGAGATTATGGTGGAGTGTGATTTACAGCGTTCCTGCCACCCTCAAACACAGTTATTTTAAGATCACCTACAGCCTGAGGCCTGTCCTGATCAGAGGGCCACACTCTGCTTCCATGAGTTAGCTTTGCTTTGCGTGTGATAGACCAATGATCAGTGAACATTACCAGCTGGCATGTTTACAGAAAAGTAGCCATTCTTCATAATTTGAGCCTACACAGTGTTTTGAACTTTTGATCCAGCATACCACATTTGTTACTAAAATATATTCACCAACACCTTTTTTTTTTGTTTTCTTCTGTCTGTTTTGCCACCTCTTTTAACCGCATATTAAATCCTTGGCAAGACTGTCGGAAAGCATTCTTTCTTTTTCTGTCTTCTTGTTCCAAGACTGCTTTGGGCTGTTTCAGGTAAACAGGGAACTTCATTACTGCTTAGCAAGTTGGGACAAATTGACATAGTTTAAAGACTGATAGGGATATGGACTTATACCACAACATTAGAAAAAAACAAGGATGAGAGTGCTTTCAAAATGTCAAATGTGCATCGTGATAGAAAATAAAGTCACACAACTGGCTGTGAATTCCAGGGACATACGGTACATTTTTAGTACGGAACGCATACAAAGGCAGTGACCTCTATTGCCTCTATTAGCTGTCAAAATCTTGTTTATACAGTATTTATATTCTTATATGTTTTTGACCTTTCTCCTAAGTGTTCTTAAAGACACTTGAAAAAATAGCCCCCAGCTGACGTCAGCATTTACAGACCTTTGTCATACATGAAGACAGTAATTTTACTAATGGCAGCTTCTTTAGACTGAACAGGAAAAAGGTTGAAAGGTTTTTGCCCCCAGGAAACAGGTAGCACTGTAAAGCACATTGTAGGTTTCAATTCGCATCCTTCCTTATGAATGTTTTTTATTGAAATCTAAACTGCTTTGAACATATGATGTTGTCAGTCCACATTCTTTGTCATGAAAAATGACCATGACCATGTTTGACCCTTGATGATGTGATTTATAGCCAATTTTCACACTAGCTGAAAAGGTTTGTGTCTGTTTTTACTTTTCAGGCGCACTGTTCCATATGGAATGTCGAGCTACAGAGGACAACAACGAATCAGACGTGATGTTGGAGGAAAAGCAGCTGAACACAAGGGGGCAAAGTCTCAGCGCTGCATTTGTATTTCGCCTGACTCAGACCCTCAGTGCAATGATTTTTGTCTGTCGAGGTCAGACTGATGCTTGCATTTATTGAATCCTTTCAACTCTGTTTTCTTAGTTGGTATTTCATACCATCATACCATTTAGCTTATAATGCTGTTTGTAATGTAAAACATTATTCATGGGCAGTTTTGGGTACTTTGTGTCGTTCCATCTAAATGCTGTTAATTGATTTATAAAAGAAAAAAAAAAGCTGTACATTATATTATACATTAATGCAGTATACAATTGTTAATATTTGAGTTTATTCAAATAATTTGAAACTTCTTTCATAAGGCTATAACAATTCAACAGTTGTAGCCTCCACTGTCATGAAAATGATTTTTGAAGTAGGTATCATCAATCTTGTGATTAAAATAGTGAAAAGCAAATCCACAGAAATTGATTTTTCAGGAGACAGAGGATTTATGTAATGTAATAAAGCGTGCAGCAAGTAGGACTTCTCCATCCAATGACATATTGAGACTCTGAACAAAGTGAAAAGAAAATCTTAATTAAATATAAATACCACTCTATTCTGACATATGCATATACTTTGGAAAAAAGGCAACGCTCTTGTTAATTAGTCCAAAGAAGTAAACTTATCAACACATTAGTCCATTTTTTTTTGCTTTTGCCTATTGTTTATTATTTATTTATAGCCAATACATAAGGTCTGAAGATAGCACATAAAATAGTTTACTATACTTTAACAAATAATCCCCCCTCTACAAAAAAATCATATATTAGCATTAACATTAGTACTTTAAGATTTTTTTGCAAAAACGTAAAGTGCGTTATAAATTAAATGTAGGCCTATTATTATTATTATTATTATTATTATATACCTATCAATACCTATTAAATCCTGAGATTTCATACTTTGCAGGGTTTTACTCCTTATCAGTGTGCAGTCATGTTTAAAAGGTCAGCGTCTTAAAAGGGGCCACTCACCTATATCTCAGATCATGTTTGATTTCCCCATAGAGAAAATAGAAAGAAACCGACCCAAGTGATGTCATCAGAGATATCTTGCCTTGGGCTGAGAGATTACAAAGAGAGGTGCAGATAGCATATGTCCTTTTGGTTTCATTGTTCGAAATGTAGTTCGGATTTTTATAAATTTGAGCTAGACAAAGAAAAAGTAATTTTAAAATTAACAAATTTTAATCATTTTGTGTGATTTTCCTGGCTTCATCATTGTGTTATACTTAAACACTTCAAGGGCCCTTTAACTTGCTAATTACATGTGGAATGTTTTCTTCACAGCTCCCTTCAGAGAGTGCAAATCAAGAGTCTTCACAGAGTCCCTGGTCCTGGATGACAAGTCTGCCCTCTATGTTTAGCTGTTTTCCTTGCGGGGAATGGATCCTTCCCTCCACTTTGGGCCCTTCACACTCTGTTTGGCACTCTTGCCTCTGTCGGCATGTTCACATTTAAGGAAAGAGTTTGGGAGTTGTGCTATTCCTCAGCATCATAACATTTGGAGCAAGTTACATCAGGCTGAATGATTTCAAGAACTCTTGAGTGAAATTGATGCAGATCCTCAGAGATGATCCGCCTTTTGTTTTCCCCACAGAGAACAGCATGAGGATAACTGTTGAGATAAAATATTAACCATTGACCTTGCTTCTGTCAAGACTGATCAGACAAACCCTTCATCTACATCTGGTAACAGTGTTGTGGACTACATCTGGCTCCCTTTTTAAAAAAAACAAGATCAGCGTATATCAATCTATAGGGGACAACAAAGACATTTCAAAAGTTGGAAACCATACATTTCCAATCAGAGCCATGATGGATGGAAATAGTAGAACATTGACTTTTTAAACACATAAGGACATAAGATAACAGGAAAAGCTTTTAACCACCTGTGCTGTGGGGGCATATTACTGAGCTATGGTTTATGAGCCCATATGGTCAGTCTGGAAGACATAAATAACCTGACAGTTTGCATACTTTCTTTTTATTTCAGAAATGCTATATCCTTTGTGCTCTTTGTAACTACCTTAAGTAGTAATATATTCATTGTTCTCTTAAATCAACACCACTGGCTAAAATCTGTTCTCAACCATTCATTTTGTGTCTAACCTAAAATAATCCAAAAACTGATTGTTCCCCTGGGAAAAATCATATTGTTAAACTGTCTTTTTTTTCTTCTTCTGCTTGACGCGGTAGATTACTGATATTATAACAAGTAATTTTTTAATTCTTGAAAAATCTCAAGAAATTACCAAAAAATGTAAATGAGTTGGTTGTATTTGCAAGTATTGCCTGTTTAGTCACGGCTTTACGAAGTAAGTTAGTTTTTGTATAAGATGAAACTAAAGTTTGTGTGACAATAGAAATGACTGGTGGAGGAATGCCATATAATTAGGGACATTAATAGTTTTAAGAGACAACCAGTAAGTTTTGGTCTTGTTGGAGGATTTTTTCACTCTATGAATGCCGGTTTTATCTTTAAAGTAAATAGCTTGACAGAGAGTTATGGTCTTGCAAATCTCATTATCCTGGTCAGTATATTGGGTTCAAGAATACAATTTAAAGTAGTTTGCCCGAGGTGTAAAATTACTGTGGTTAAAGCATGTCAAATTCCATAAAGCTACACTACAAATAGAGTTTAATTGATAAAATAGCTTGCTGCAATCACACAATTACATAACAGTTTTGTGATTGTGTTACTTGCTTCTGGGGCCATTCCTGCATTACCACTGAACAGTGTTTGAATCATTTGAGTTTTTATTGGCCTCCACTTATCTGTCTCACTATCCACTTTGTCAAAAAGCTCTTCTGACTGCCACTGAACAAACAATATTTATATTAAAATGTTGGCACCTTACATAATATTTCACCATTGATTGCAAAATGGTTCTCCTGTCAAGATAACATCTAAAACAGATTGCTTTTCAGTTGTTTTGTTTTTTGTTTGGCAGTATTGTGTCTCACAAACTGTCGGTTTGGGGTTCCAAGTGGTGACCACTTGTACGTTTTCCCTTCACCATTTTCCAATGGTGGGCATTTTCCTTTGATATAACTGTGAGGGAGGCCCAAATGGTGGTATGACGCCATAATGCGGTCTCTTTAGAAACAGCAAAGGGATCTAAAGGAATCTGGCAATCATTATCATTTCATCATTCCCTGGTTGATAAGCAACTGAAAAGACAATAGACTGAGGCTCAACAGGCCATTTCCCATTTTTCTGCTAAAACAAGAGATTTTCTAACCCATGTCCTCCCAATGCAGCTAAAACCAATTTTACTATTAGATAGAAAGTGGCTGAATGCCAACATTACCAATTAAAAGTGCTGTATAACATGATTGGAAAAGTGTAGATATCAAGCTAACGCTAATATTGGTAAGAAAGTGCTTGCTGACATAAGCTATTTCTCTGGTAGCTCAGAGGTGATGTTTCAACAAAAATAGATAAATAAGTTTACGTATTTTTCTAGTTTACTGTACAGCACTTTAAAAAGAAAATTTAGGAATTAAACCACTTCCCAGCTAACACTATTATACTGTAAGTATGAAAAGGTTAATAGTGAAAAGTAAAATTATGGCTGCAATCCTAGACATACATAAGGAGGTGGTTGAACGCTAATAACCTTAACCTTGGTGTATATTTTCACACTTTAAGTCTGCCTTCCCTCTGGTATTATAGAAACTTTTAAAAAGGGAATGTTAGCATTATGGCACTTCCTAGCAAACGGTTTACTAATGTGTCGTCATTTGTGTAGTTCTAACTCAAAATTTGGGTTAGGCTTTTCCTGGTTATTTCAGTTGCAGGAAGCCAAGAAATTATTTTGGTCTGTCAGTTTTCCTACATTTATTTGACTAGATAATGATGCAGTATAAAATTACAAGGGTTGTACAAGCTTGTGAGGGGAAAAACAATGAAGATAGAGTTTAATCCGAGGAGGTGTTTTTGGGTAATGCTGCACTCCAAGAGTGTCAGAACCTTTCCAGCATGCTCTGAAGATTTTCCTGAATAACAGAATCTACAATTTCTGTATTTTAATAATTCGCCCAATTGCCAAGAATTAATTAATTAATATTCTCTACAATCATTGTTAAATAAATGATTGATTGTGGTTAAATAAAAGTACTGTAAAAGAGATTTCCATCTGACTTATTATGAGCATGCTGAAGCTTGTTTTACAGTTCACATTCACACTCTGTTTCTAATTTTGACCAGTTATTTTGTGACTTTGTCTTTCCTGACCAAGCTAATAAAAATGTGTCAATAACAGTTTTCCCTGATAGTTCAGTGAAGCAACCAGTTTTCCAAATCATCAGTGCCTTTCAAAATATGTATAGTGTGCATATTGTGTACAAGATATGTGTTGGTTTATCTGCATTTATTTGGATCATTTTTGACAAGCTACATCCTAATGTTATAGTATTTTTTGTCAATGTTGGAAGTTTGTATAATTGACATAGGAGAGAAATAAAAAAGCTTAAAATTAATACAACAAAATAATCAGATTTGATTTAAATGTTTAATAGTATAGCAAAAAAAATTTGAACACATGACTTTATTATTTTTTTTACACATTACAGGATACGTCAGTGATCGAATTTACACAAAAACATTCATGGCTCAATCTGTATACATTTCTATTGTTTGTATGTATGAATGCACAACTATTTGCACATTTATAATGTTATATTTCTATATCTTAATCAAACTTTATAAAGATGAGAAATTGTAATGGATGTGGAATGGAAAGAAACAATTAAATATGCTGTTAAACAATTACTGGTAACTTGCATTTTTATAAATAATTTCCTACCACTTACAAGCTCATAGAAGTGTTAATGGTGTTTGTATGCAACTTGTTTAAACAGACATTAATAGTTGTAGCAATGGGAGTTGGAGGGGGGATCCACAGCAGCACTATGATCCAGAGGAACCTACGGGACAAGAGAGCTCAGGAGCTCCCAGGATGACATGTGGTTAAGAAGAGGAAGATTTACAGACTGTGACATGCAATACTATTATGTGCAGCCAGCAGGACTCGCACTTTGTCTCACTCATTGTAGACAGTCATGCGCTTTGAGTAGTCTGAAGACTATAAGCGCTATACAAGCTCAAGTCCATTTATCATTTACTTTATAAATGACAAATATGACACGCTTTAAACATACTGTACTTCTGTTCACATTCATTATAAAAAAGGTCATGGATCAGAGAGACAATTACATAAGATATACTTTATTTCTGCTTTATTTATGTGAAAAATGTTGCACATTCTTCCTTGAAGAATGGGTTTCGCCTGATAACTGAAGGCTCTACCTATAGTACATATAGAGATTGTAGGTACCACGAGCAGGCCTGCATTCTGGTAGCGTTGTTCTAGCGGGGTTACGGCACTATGAAGTCTGTAAGATAAGATGGTGCCTGACCATTAGGAGCGTTGTAAGTAAGAAGACATAATATAGAAGTAATATGATCTCTTTACCTAGTTGTAGTCAAATCAGAGCTGCATCATTTTGGACCAGCCGAAGAGTCTTTAGAGACTTCCAAGGGCAGCTTGATAAAAGAGAATTACAATAATCCAACCTGGAAGCTTTTTCTGCATCGTTTTACAACAGGATATGCCTGAGTTTAGATAAATTATGAAGGGAAAAAGAGGCTGTTCTTGAATTTTGTTTTATATGAGAGTTGAAGGACATAAGTGTCTTGATCAAACAGAACTCCCAGATTCCTGACAGTGGTGCTAGATGCCAGATTGATGCTATGATGGTTAGGTCTTTAGAAAAAGTCTCTCTCATTTGTTTAACGGCTGAGCACAAAAACATCAGTTTTGTCTGAGTTATGCAGCGAAAACAGTTTGGTCACCCAGGTCCTAATGTCCTTAAGGCATGCTTCTACTTTGTACCACTGATTGATGAGAGAAAATATTTCAGTTATTTGGTGTTTTCCCTGTAAAGAGAACATGGAAATATCTATTTGCTCCTTTTGTGTAGAACTTATTTGTTGACAATTTACAGTAAACAATGACTACATAAATAAAAAATATATCTACCTTGGGAATAGTTGAGCTACTAGTCCACAGCTGGGGAGCCTTGGGGTTTATCATCTGTCAGCTGCAGTGTTCTTTTGTTCTTCCTAAACTGCTTGCTCATGGCCATCTGAAGAGTGGTCAAGTGTACTAAGGTTAATTCTATTATTATCAACGGGTCAGACCTTTCCCATTTCTCCCCACAGAGGTTTTGACAGCCATCATATCCAGTCATAAGGATCCTTTAATCTCTCCATGCTACCTCGAATGCCATTCCATATGTTATCTTCCCATGTGGGCAAGTCAGTACCTCATACATTTTGAATGTCACTCTGTAAATTAAAACAACAGTAACTGATATTTTGATCTGCAAATAATGACCGTCATTATTAGATTAATTGTGATTCAAACTGGGATATCTGTAGCTGAGCTAAAGTGTACAAGATATTTTTATATAGTCTGAGGGTAGCAGTGGTTGTGATGCTTTTATCAAAAGATGATAAATTAGGTATCCTGTGATCTTGTGATGATAATTGCATAGCTTTTCATGTCACGGAGTTATTTGGATTAAAATAATGGGTACATTTTCTACAAAATGTTTTTGTTTTCTTAAAAATTGAGAAACACATCCTGTTATTACAAGGAAAAGACTCTTCTACCTCTTAACTTTTTTTTTGTTTTTGTGCTGTAGAATTAATATGAAACATAGAAAAAAGATTCACATCACAGAGCTGCATGTCTGTAGTCAGACCACCTTTCCCCTCCTTAGGAAGAGCATGAGACCAAATGGACCTTTTGAAGCTCTAATACCAGCTATCATCCAGGAATGTCCCACTAAGTCCACTTTCAATAAGCTTACCCTGAAGCCTCAGAATTAACCTTCAGATAGAGCACCAATAGTATCGCTCAGAAGAAGACATGATTCCCACAGTACAGCCTGGGAAATATTTATTAGCAGACATCCTGACTACAGGACGGCAGGTTCAGGGCCCCTACCACAGCTTACAGTTCGTTATTGGGTTCTGGTTGATTGAATGAAAGGACTTCTTGTTATATACAGTGAACACTGGATGGTACAGTTAATTTAAAGACAATAAAGGCTGCTTTGACTGGATAATTAATTCCAGACACAATAATATCATGTTGATATTTATCATCTATGCATTCTGATTATGAGTTGGGGTTTAAAGTTTGTAGCATATATGACAATCCAATATGGGAATACGCTCAGCAACTGATGAAACAACATAAATTTAGAAAAACGCGCAGCATATATAGAAACGCTGCACATCCAAAAGCAAATGCAAACTACCACAACAAATGCAAGGACACAAACGCGCTGCAAAAGAAACAAACGCGCTGCAAATAGGAAAAACAACTGCATAAACATCAAACGCGCTGCAAGTACAGAAACAAAACTTAATTCAAAACACACACAACCAGAAAACAACAGCAAACACAAAAACGCTGCAAGTTCAGCCTTAAACGGAAGTGCTCCAGGCCTGTAGGGGCGCTGTGGAACTGTTTATTTACCAGAGAGAGTAAGAGAGACAGCTAGGATCAGAAAGTTATGTTTAGATAGGGAAGTTGTATCCTTGAAAGATACAGGATAACTTCAATGTTACTGAAACGCGGAGATTAAAGCGAGTCCGACTGGGATTTTGACATCGGGGATGAGAGCTGAGTGTGGGTCTGTGGCTGTAGCCCCGGGATGCCTGGAGGTAGTGCTAGCTCTGGGGCTATGAGCTCCAGCTGCAACTTATCCCTCTGCACCCGCTTTACCAGCCTGACACTTCGCGCTTTCACCATCCCCGGAGTCCGTGTTGAACTCGCTACTCATCTCTTTGCTACAGTTTAACATTACTCCCTGTCATCAAACATTGACACTTCACCCACGGAGAGCCCTCTGCCCCGGGCCTGACAAGTTCAAAATCCTGGCAGACGGAAATCTTGTAGCCTACTTAAGCTGGGCAATGGTGCCGGTAACCGGGCAGCCAACTTAGCAAAGCTACCGCTTTGCGTTTTTCTAAATGTATGTCATTTCATCAGTTGCTGAGCGTTTGACCCCTACTGGCCACTGTAATGATAACCTATATAATTTTAATTTCTACTTATTCTTATTCTTCCTCTTCCTCTCAAAATTCCAATCGCAGTTGGTAAACATAAAGAGTCCTGACTACATGTTCAAGGTGACTTGGAAGAGCAAGCCAGGGTTAGCAGTGGTAATAAACCCTGTCAATCCTTTGATTTATGACAAAGTGGACCACTGAAACATGGATGATAAGGATGATCTTAAAAGTCTGTGAGGTTGGTTTTGGGGCAAGCATTTTACAGCTGTAATGGGGCCTAAATTACATTGTTAAATTTAAAAATGAACTGTGCGCTATATCTGATATGGGAAAAATATTATTATCTGCAATTCACCAACCTTAGTATTCGCAGCAGTGAACAGTTACAATGCATTCAAGCTTGGTTAAAAACCAACATTCAAGTGCAAAAAGCTGAATTTCATCGGCCAAACAACATGTATGGAGAAGGAAGAACCACTGGAAATGTTTTGTCATGGTTGGAAACATAACCCACCTTGTGTTCAAGCGATTTAAAGGACTACAAAAGGGAGGAATATACTGACCTTTTTTTTAACAAGGTTCAGTGTTTTTTTCTTCCTCAATAATGTAAGGTTTAATTGTGTTCATTGGAACTGTTTTTGGACGAACATTCAATTACTACAACACATACAGTATGGTTACACAAGTACTGCAGTTGTTAGCTGTTTGAGTCATGTGGATCACAAGTGTTTGACATGTGGATCTATATTTATGGCTTTAACTTTTGGGTGGTTCTGCGCTTCCCCAGATGGCATTTGAAAACACTTTGAAAGTATGTGGAACCTGTGATGTTAAAAATGTCACGTCGGTACCCTTGAAGATGGGGAAAATATTTATTGTCCGTAATAGCTGTATATCAAACCTGCCATTTACTCTGCAGCTGTTGCTCTGTTAGGATGTCTGGTTCAGTTGCGTGACATTCTCTTCAATATAATACTCAGTAAAATTGAAGGAGACACTTACCGCCTCAAAGTACTGTTTAGACATTTTAAGTGCCCAGTAAACATACTTGTTGTTGTTTAGATTGACTGTCAGTCGCGCTAAGGTGATGTTTGAACTTTATGTAATACACATCAACAAACAGCTAGGGATCTGTTTTTAGAAACAACCTACTGTCACAGGCAGCCATGTCATGCTTTTCTTTTTTTACATGACATGGGCCTTGTCCTTTGGGCGACTGTGGCTCAGTTGGTAGAGGCGGTTGTCCCTCAACCAGAAAGTTGGGGGTTCCATCCCCAGCTCCAGCAGCAACATGTCCAATGTGTCTTTGGGCAAGACACTTATCCATGAATTGCTTTTGCTGATTTGCTGACAGCAAATGAAT